TTGGTGTGATGCATCAATTTCAATATAAATTAATTATTTATTTATATATTCCACCCTCCCGTGCCACTATGGCAATACGGGTGTTTGCGATAGTGTGTTATTAGGCATGAATTCTGAATAACACACTACTACTAGTCAACATGAACAAACATGTACACACATCTAGCAGTTCTTCTGTTCTATCTTCTTCTTGTTTCTGCCTAGCTTCAAGAATCTGGAGGTCTCCCTGGGGCTAGTCCTCTTCTTATGCGGCTACCAATACGAAAATGGGCGGGCCCCACCACCGTCTTCCATCCATTTATGAAATACTTAAACCGCGGGAAATTTCATCTCATTTTCAGTGTGGACATAGATCCCTGCGGCTCTTGTCATAGTCGCTCTTAAAGTTTCAAATGAGGTGCAGGTCGTGACCACGTACTCTACAGTTTCTGGAACACTACAGATTGGACATAGAGGATCTACATTAAGTTAGCAATCCTCAATAATATCACTCTAATTATAAAAGTAAATGCCAATCTACACTATATTTAATACGGTAACAGAGATCCCTTTTCTGGCTGATGAAGATACTCGGAAATGGATCGTCAATCTGAAGGTCGGTAAACTCTGTCTATTTAATGACGTTCAAAAACCTCATGAACTCCCATTTACCTTCCTCTTGAATCATAAGATGATTTAACCACAAAATCGAGAAAATGTTGGCCTATAAAAACATTGTGCCATACGGCTAGACCTCCACCCACAACATATCAAAATAACGAGGTTATATTGACCAAACAACATTTTTGTAGGTCATTTTTTATATCGATTTTGTGATTAAATTATCTTACGATTCAAGTAGAAATAATTTGATACTCATGAGCTGCTTAAATTAATAATCCCATTAAATTAATAATTTCATGAGAAAATACTCTATTTCTTAGAATTTTCGTAGAGAAAAAAGGGCGTAGGTTAGAATAAGATGAAAACAATCACGAAAATCAGGGTCAGTATCGCGCATTTTTCGAATTGTTGGTAGCATCCACGCTCAACTTTCATGTCTTACGCATATCGAATACGCTTTATAAAATCTACTTCAGCTTTTTTCAGTTACTATAAAAAAACTGAACTGTGTCGCATAACAGCCACGTGAACCGTAAGACTAAAATTGTTACCGTTACTTTAAAATGATTATTTTGATCAATTCATTCTGAAAGGATGTCATACAAAAAAAATCCCTGTGTTGGCCTAAAGAGAAGTTTTAGACAGCGCGTCGCTAAGAAGTTGAATGGCAGCCCCTGCGTAAAAGAGAAGAGATTTGCTGAGTCATAAGTCTCCAAAGAATCGCAGTTCGCTTCACAATGTCATTATCAGATCGTGACCGGGTTTGATGAAGGGAAGGATGAGGAAGTATTTATTTCTCAGATAGTTAAAAATTTTAAGTTCCAGGGATGAGATTTCAGAGGTTCCAAATTTCAGAAGAGGTCCATGGAATATATAGATTTATATAGAAATGGAGATACATACCACAGATTGTTAAGGAATCGTCGTAGATATGCTTGTAAAGATTGTAGTACCAAATAAAAAAAAAATTCATCCAATGAGGTAGTATCATTAATTCTCAACCGTGAAACCATCCAATACTGTCACGCAAGTATTACTCGTACTTGAAGCAACGAGAATCCAGTATTCCACAGTATTCCAAGATTCAGCTCCAATATATCTTTTGAGTGGTAATGGGGAGTCTCATGAACGTTTTCTACTCTTTCTATGGAGGTTATGTTGAAATTTTGTTATGAATTTCTGGAAGGGAGTAGGTGCTGCTCCTAGCGGATTATTGGTGAACCACTAGGAGCTTGAGAAGGCAGCTATTAAGGTTTTTAACTTGAATCCGAAATGTTTTAAAGGATAGAATGGATCTTAATTTACCTGGAATGTGCCTCTTAGCGGGTCTCTTTGTCGGAAAGAATATTCTTATAAAAGTAATAGATAACGAATAATGAATCATCATTGAAAGCCTCCATAATTTGATGACTTCCTCAAATCATCAGAGTTACTTTTTACCAGTTATGCAACACGGAGGTTTATGTGTTTGGATTGTCTAAGATAAAAAGTGAACATTTCATTACATCGATATTAATCTAATAATGTATAGCTGTTAAAATTTTATTTTATTTTTTAATCATAAGAAAATCTAACTATGGATTTCTTTATAAAGGTTGAGACATTTAATAAATGGTGTTTTCAGAATTCAGTAGCAAAGTAATTCAGAAGCAATGAATTTGAAGTCGGGGATGAGGATACTCCAAAACATGTGAAACATGCATTTGGTATAGATTGAGCAATTCACAAGGAGTGATTGGGATTTGAAGTAGCCTAGTGGAATTATTTTACAGCATGATAGTGGCAGACGATAAGTTAAATATCTTTAATATAAAAATACTTGATATGAGTAAAACGTAATTTTAATTTTTTTTTTACCATTCTATTTTCTCCATTTCGATTTATTGTATAAACGATTAAATTTCCTGGACCTAGTCGTCAGTTTTTTATTTAAAGTTCAAAATTCATTTTTCTTGATATTATAGACAGTTCGATGTATCAATCGCTTGATGGTAACTGGATTTCCTCATTTAGTAGACAACTGATTTAATTTATATGTTTCAAAATTTAGTAATTAATCTATTTTTCAATATCACCACCACATGTGAAGTAGTCTGTGGTACAGCTCTTATTCAATTAATCGGATGCTTTTGCTCATTTATTCAAATGTTGTATGATAAGCCATTGTCTTATTGTGCAGACTCCTTTTTATCAAATTATTAACATCCGCCTTAAACTTCGTAAGTAGTTTCATCTCATCGTAACCTACAACTATTTTATTTACGAAAACTCTTGGAATTGGGACGTTTTCAATCTTAATATCGGCAAACGTTGTCTATTAAATTAAGTAATAAAAACTCGTAAATACCCATTTGCTTTCTACTTTAATAGTAAGATAATTTTATCACAAAAACGAGAGAAATAGTGGCCTTCAAAATATTGAGCCGTTTGGCGTGACCTATAGCTTCAACATGTCAAAATAACAAGATTATATAGGACACAGGCCCAATATTTTTGTAGTCCATTTTTATCCTGATTTTTTTATGAAATCACTTTACGGTCCAAGTGGAAAGCAAATGGGTATTTTCGAGTTTTTAGTACCTAAGTAAATAGACAAAGTTTGTCCCTCTCTAGATTGAAAACGCCCCGATTCCAAGAGGTATCGTAAATAAAATAAAATAGCTGTAGGTTGCGATGAGATGAAACTATTTATGAAGTTTCAGGCGGATGTTAATAATTCGATAAAAGGGACTCTGTACCACAGACTAAAGTATATCATGTGAAGTAATATAAAGTAACGTATGGTCGTATAGAGTAATGCTATGGTCGTTACTTCTAGAATTCCTTCTCACTCTGACTAGACTATTGTAAGCTGTAGAAGAATTCATGCTTTCTGCACTAGTTGGAGTGCGTTGGGAAGTTAAACCGACTTCTACTCCCACCTAGTATTATAGGATGTAGCATCATAGCAAGATTAGATATACTCTCAAATCCTGGAATTAGATTAATTTATCTAATTTTGACTCTATAAAGTGTAATCGGATCATTTTTTACGGAATCGTTAGGAGCTTAAAACATTTATCTACAGTTTTTATTGTATGAACAAAAGTAAATATTGAATTTTGGATTCAGAGAATTTAGGCGTTTTCAATCTGGAGGAGGTCAAACTATGTCTATTTGATCAGGTACTAAAAACGCGTAAATACACATTTGCTTTCTACTAGGATCGTAAGATAATTTGATCACAAAATTGAGAAAAAAGGTTGCCTTCCAAAATATTGAGCCGTTTGGCGTGACCTACCCCAAATTTTCAAAATAACCAGGTTATATAGGACACAGGCTCAATATTTTTGCAAGCCACCTTTTTTTGTCTATTTTTTGATCAAATTATCTTACGATCCAAGTAGACAGTAAATGTGTATTTACGAGTTTTTAGTACCTAATTAAATAAACGAAGTTTGTCCCCCCTCCAGATTGAAACTGCCCAAATTCCAAGAGTTTTCGTAAATAAAATAGTTGTAGGTTACGGTGAGATGAAACTATTTACGAAGTTTCAGGCGGATGTTAATAATTCGATAAAAAGGGGTGTGTACCACGGACTAATACTTTCTGTAACCAAAAAAAAAATTCACTTAAACGTCATTTTATAATTTTTTTTCAGAGTTATTACCGTCAAAATAAAATTAAAAAAAAAAAACCTAATAAATTAAATCTTCCAAAATGTAATATGCATACATCACATGAGTAATACTCCTGTAAAATATAGGCCTACATTCATGGAACATCCAGTATATATAGTTTATATATTGATATAGATAATATATCATAGCTATGTACTGCATATTATTTATGTACAGAATACTGTACATTAGTAAAGATATATATATTTAATAATATGTGTATAAATCATTGTGATAACACAGCAATCATGAAAAGTAGCCCTAAGTTTATATTCAAAGAACCCATAGACAGTTTTAAAAGCCTTATTACCTCTGAGAGGTTTTAGTTTGATTTGTCACGGATATAAGGAATTCCTCCATTTTGTTCACCTTGTGACTGGTTTTTATTTTATCTATAGCGTACGTATTAACTGTTGTATTCATAAGTTGTAAAAGTTTATTATAAAAATGTAAGAATATTTCCAGAATATTAAAATTTTCAATTATATCTACAATTGAATGATTATGTGGTTAATTTTAATAATGCTTAGATTGTTACGAAAGAGCTGTTTTCAAATTATAAATAATTTAATATAAGTTTTTCAAATATCATTTTATCAATCTGAACTATTAATTGTATTAATTATTAGATTATAAAATTTTTAGTTACTTTCCTCCTCACGTGTGTGGTATTTCAAGTACAGCTATGTCCAAGCCATGGAATGCATTTTTAACTTTTTTTTCAATGACTTTTTATAGATGGTGCACGTCTGTTGGTGGTACTACTTCTCCAAGTTCACCGAATTTATGGACACGGTAAGTACCTAAAGTTGGAATTAATTGTGCCCATTTAATTATGTTATTATATAATTCACAGATTTACTACCGAGGAATTAGAAAGTTCTTAGTCGTTTAGGGCAGTTTGGAACATTAAATGCCTAATAAATTCTCCATCCCAGGTTCCTTGTTCTATTAAACATATTTTCCGTAGGCCTATACCGGTCGATGGTTACCTTCGACATACATCCAACATTCCGTTACTTAAATAACTTCGAAAAGTTACGCTGTAAATCCTATATGAAGCAGTAAACCTAGCATAAATGAAGAACTCGACAATAGTAAAACTAAAAGAGAAAGGCTCGTAAAACTATACCGTAAAGTCTATAAACGCTTCAAGCTTGTCACATTGATGACAAGTGATTCAACTTTAATCCGAAGAGCAATTGGAAAGAAATATTTCATCAACAAAAATGGAGATTTGTGTTTGTAGCAGAAATACTCAGGTTAGCCCGCTAAGCTTAAATATATCATTATTTGCAGTGTAGATGGAATGTCAATGAAGCCGTTTCAAATCGTATACTCCGAAACCTCAGCACATGTTAATTAAAATTTTACTCTCACTGTTTTTCTCTTAACTACGCTCCCCTACTCCTTTTTTACTTATTAATTTTGTATTTGGACTTATCTTTCATTCAAATATTGAAACAGTTTATATTGAAACATAATGTTAAATGACACCGCGAAAAGTGGAAAAATCACTCCGTTCGAATCTAATGTACACAAACCTAAAAGTAATAATTTTACGAAACGACTATACTTCCTACTGTTCTTTGCATATATGAAACGTAACCGTTTGTATTAAGGAGGAAAGAACGGGGGATATCTTCTTTCAATATATTTATATAGTTATGATTATTTTTTATATGTTAAGGTGAAAAAAAATTGTGATTTTGGACTTAGTACTGCATGGTTTCCACCTCAGGATGTCATGTAATTCGATCTTTATCACAATCGATAAGAACAATACTTTTATTGCTAATATATTTTATCAACCGGTTTTACACACATCAAAAATACCTGCAACTCAAACAGAAAGCAAAAACACAAGAAAAGGAGTGATAAAACATTTCTGTATTTTCTGAGAAACAAACACGCCGGACGTTGGGAATCTTTTATTTTCCATAGCCTATTGTAATTTTAAAAAAACGAAGACGGAAAAGAAAATGAAAGGAGGCATGAAATCCGTCAAAAGGGATGTTTGATGAAGAATATTAATTTAAAACTCAGCAGGAACCATTTAATTCAGCATCTCTAAAGCAACATAAACACTAAACAAATGTCTAAAAGTGGCACCAACGCTTACCTAAACATGATTTCTTTTAAAAATCTTACAGTATATCGACAACCACACTGGAAATGCCTGTAAATGCAAGACATAAAATTAATTATAAGACTAAATAAACCTTGTATTTCTTGTTATATGAAGTAGATTTTCCATTCATTTTTTTATAGCATGCCTAAGATAAAGATGTAATGTTGTACATAGTTTGTTTTTATGAATATATCGTGAAAGCTTAAAGCCGCACATTCTAATTAAATTGTACTTAAATGATTTCGCAGTGTGGCTGTCCATATGGAACATGCACAAACAAGACAAAATATTAGCTTAGAGAAACAACCGATTTGTGCACTCGCGTTTTCCATAGTTTGTGAAATATGTAAAAGTACCTTTAGACTCATAAATGAATTTGGATGTATATTTTCTTACCATTGTCTTGACATACCCGTGATGATTCATGTATGGGTAAGTCTATGTATTTATTCATGTTTTTATCACTATTATCGTTACGATTATGTAAATGTTCCCGTTGCAATTAATTTATTTAGGGAAAAGAAAGCTAGGTTTAATTCCTCGATTTTACATTCTCGATACTAAGTTTTATCTATTGAATACTGTTTGCATTACTGTTTGCATTACAACCTGCTGAATGTTTAAAAAAAGAAAACTTACACTCGTAAGACAATGGAAGTGAACGAGAGAATCCTAACCTTTTACCGATTCATTAACCATTCCTACTTGCTTTCGGTATTCCCGCTGTGTGCCAGCTTCTTCTTGGGTCTTCCCGTGTTGAATATAACATGTTGAATTAGGCTTTGATAACACATTGATGGAATAAAATATATTTAAAACGGTACGCCGTATTAACGTATCCAATAAACAATAAACGGCAAATCATGTGCGAAAATTTTTCCTGTTTGACTTTACAGAATTTATTTTATTTTGACGGAGAATGCCAAGATGGTTTTGATTTTCAATCAAAAATTAGAAACTCGTTGTGTAGATTAAGTGCGGAATGTAAAATAAAATTTTCAATAAAAATCAAATTCATCTATGTATGAATATTATTTAATATTAATATTATTTAAATTTATTGCTAATATATTTTAATTTTTTTTTTGTTTTAGTTTTTCTTCGTTCTACGTAAAAAGAACGAACATATATCAACACTTCATGTTATTCACCATGGTCTCATGCCCATGAGTGTCTGGTTCGGCGTCAAGTTCACACCTGGTATGTTGTTCATTGAATTTTATTTTTATGATTCTATAATTAATTTAAATAATAAGTAAATTTTAGTTGTTTTTAGCATTGTCCAGATGAGGTGTTGCGTGCTTGGCTGCTTCATGAAGCCGTACTGTTCTCTAACTTATCAACTCCTCATCTCACTCTGGTCCCAAGGCTTCTAGAGTAAACTTAGCTAGGTAGACTGAGGGATACCCGAATATCCTCCTATTGTCCCTTCGTTTCTTTCGAAAATAGTTTCAGGACATGGAGGAACATCTCTTATTCTTTGTTATCCACATACTTGTCCATTTCAGGATTGATTTCCTGAGGTCATGCTGCATTTCCTAATCTTGATGATGGTTTCTTGAAGTTCTTCTTCCATGATTTAATCATCTTCCACCTAACATCCACTGCATTCCTCTGGATCTTGGGCAGTTCTACATCACTCCTCTCCTGCAGGTCTTTAAGACACACCCTCCATATTTTCATGATGAGTTCGTCAAAACAGTTGATGTCCCCATTTCTATCCTGGATTTCTTTCACAAGATCAGTGTCCATGGACAACATTTCAACAACCTACCGTTCATTATGTTGTTTTCATGAATAAATTTCACGAGCCATTAATGACTGTAAAAACATTTTTAATAAAATCCAAATTTTCAACAGAAATACATGTTTGATGGTTCCACGATTCCAAATAACTAAACCTTACAAAAAATTTTGTGTGTTCAAATAGCATAGTTCAAAAACAAAAGAATGGCACTAAAGTTACTTTTATAAGTTAGATTTATTTCTGGAATGTTGCAGCAGCTTTTTGGCTAAAATCGATTCACCAGATATTCCATTTTATATCATTGATTTTACCAATTTTTCGAAAATACCTCATAAGATTTTGATTAAACTCGTTATATCGATGTAAAATTGAATGGTTTTTAATATCAGTTAGGTCTTACCTTCATTGAAAATAGCTTAAATACTAAATTTTCAAAATTTCTTTGTCTTGTGTACTTTTAATTTTGTTTATTTGAAATAACTTAAGTTCTATTATTGTTAGTAGTAATACATAATAGATTAAATATAAAATAATTCTATAGTAAACTAAACGAATAAATAGGAGAAATATTTTTGCAAGTTGAAAACAAAATTTCTGGAAATAACAGTAGTTACATTATATATATATAATGTAACTACTGTTTTATATATATATATAATATATATATATATATATATATATATATATATATATATATATATATATATATATATATATATAAAACTACTCTTATTTCCAGAAATTTTGTTTTCAACTTGCAAAAATATTTCTATATATATATATATATATATATATATATATATATATATATATATATATGAATATTGTATACATTTTAATTGTTAACATAAATGTTTTCACAAAAACTAAATGGAATTTTTACGAACATACATGAAAAACCATTTTTTTTTTTTTTTTTTTTTTTTTTTTTTTTTTTTTTTTAATTTTGAACCAGGTCAGTTCAGTACAGAAAGTATTTGAAGCTTGAGTCACTCTTAACTCCAGAAATATATCCTTTTCACATATATAGAAATAAATTATTTCACAATATTAAATCCCAGATAACTTGATTATATAAGAATTGTATATTTAATTATATTCCTTCAAAAACAAAATATATCATCCTATCCTGATTTATTATATTCAAAATATTTTTTGCTGGAACAATAATGTGAACCAAATCAATTTTTTTTTTTTTAATATAGGTGGTCACAGTACGTTCTTTGGCCTGCTCAACACATTCGTTCACATTATCATGTACAGCTACTACCTGCTGGCTGCGCTCGGCCCTAGCATACAGAAATACCTCTGGTGGAAGAAGTATTTAACTACATTACAAATGGTTTGTTCTTATTTATTAACTATTACTTTTTTTTATTGCAATACTATTTGTTTTCCAAGTACCGTGAAGATCACTAAACACTTTATCTGAAAAACAAATTGCTGATTTGCCGTAGCAAAAATATAATGTTGAAAGTAAAATTTAAAAAGTTCCAAAACATATTAAGAAGCCTTTTCTATAAATCATAAGAAGAAAGAGTTATTGGCAATACCCATGTAATTTCATGGGAGTTAAGCTAATTGTCCTGATTAACGGTTTTCAGTAATTTTACATTTAATAATAATGAACAGTGAGCAAAAATTAAAGATAGCTTCAATTATCAAGACTTTGATTGGTGTAAGACGTTTCCAGAATTTTTGCCAAGATTTGAATATTCAAAACAATGAAACATCATTTACATGAAGGAGGATACTTCCTTTTTACTTTGCGAAGTAAAAGGAAAGGAAGTATGAAGTTCTTTTTGTTATGCATATTTGATTATGAGGGTTGATAAAAACATTAAGCTTGATCTAGTTTTTAGACCAATTAATTATGTACGCTACTTGTGGTAGATGAGAAAAAGAAAATACCAAAATAATACCATTAAAGTAATAGCAAATATTATTAAGAAATTTATCATATACAAAACATTTTTTTTTATTCAACCAATAAACATAACTAAATAAAATTAATTAATATTAGGTATAGTAGCTATACCCTGTGGTTTCACCAGCATTAAATTTTGTATATTTATTCTTGTTTCACACCCATAATGAATTAGAACATGACCAAAGCATCTGATTAACTAATAACATCGAACATTTATTTTTTAAAATCGACAGATTTGAAAAGAAATAAAATAAAATACTGAGGATATAAAGTATCTTCAGTTTGATGACTTTAAACTATCAAAGTTTTTTAAGAAGTTTAAAATAGTCTAGACAAGTTAACAATATTAAATCTGTCTATATCTTTTTATTCAATGTTTTACTTATATAACCTGCATTAAAAGATTCATTAATACTGTATTCTATCATATTTTCAATGTGAAGCTTGATTATATTAACTGAATATTAAAATTTAATATTATCTCCCATTTAAAATTCTAATATTTTAAACATAATTTTTTTTCTTCTAGGTTCAGTTTGTCGCCATCATGGTTCATGCCTTCCAATTGTTATTCATTGACTGCAACTACCCGAAAGCATTCGTCTGGTGGATAGGAATGCATGCTGTGATGTTCTTCTTCCTTTTCAAGGAGTTCTACACACAGTCATATACATCAAAAAAGAGAAAGGTACGTTGTCTGAATAAATATTAAATAAACATGTATGAATAAATAAGGGAGCAGGTAGCTAGCTCAGTTGTAGGGCGCTGAGTTTCCAATGCTGAAGGCCCAAGTTCGTATCCCAGCTCATGGTTGATAAATAATTTATTCTGATTCATCAGCCCTGGATTGACCCTGGGGTCAGAAGACCCTTCTGTGGCATACCCCAGCCTCTATAAAGTGGGTACCCTTAATTAAATAATTTATTAAGTAGGAAAGACCCTGGAGTGATCTCAATCAAATCAGCTCCTACCACAATCGTTGACCAAGGAACTTTATCTTCCCTAAATAGTACTGAACCCCCCAAGACTCTTCATGAGTTGTAATGGTATTCACATTTAAGGATTAGCGATAATAAAGAGGATTAGCGAACCAGAAAGTTCAATACCAATACCATCAATCTCTGTCTACACATATTCATCAGTATGTGACTGCTGTACAAACCCAGCTCCCTCAGATCAGCCTCAACACAACCCTCTCACCTTCACTTCTGTCTACACCTTGGATGCTTACCAGTCGGCAAAGCACATATTAACATTTCAGCAAATCTTTTGCTACCAGAACCAACAGTTTTATATGCTCATTTTCTTTCCTACAATATAATCATCTCAATTATGTTAATCACGTTTAGTTGACAAAGTTCAGCATTGTTCAGGCATAAAGAACCGAAGGAAGGATAATGGTAATTTCCATTTATAATGGTTGTAAATGATAATTTTCATTTTTCAGGAAAGGAGACGTGAGCTAAGTAGTTTTGAAATAGAAAAATAACAAACATTTTTCTCATAACAAACATGTATATGTATGTAAATTTGTGTTGGCAGTCATCAGCAATAATAGAATCAATAGATCAATAGTGACTTCAAGCAGTACTATCCAAAATAGCATTCTCCTCTGATATGATTCTCTAATACTCATTGCCCATATATGTTTTTGTTTTGTTTAAGTTTATAAATATTATTAATTATTATACCATCTTGATAATTTTACAATCTCCCTTGCATGCCACCAATTAGTTATAGTTACAGATTTTTAATCACCTCGACATCTTTTGAAAAGATATTCAATAAAAATTATATTAATCAATCTAGGATACTACTGTTGGAGGTCTGTTGTATCTAATCTATAAATACACAATTCGTATATCTTTCAGTTGATCGGTTCCCTTGGGGAACCAATACAAATGCAAAAATAAGTATTAAATACATTTAATAGAAATAAATGTGGTTCCTGAAACCCCCTACACACCGTAGAAACGCGAAGTCCAAGAACAAAACAATACGTAACTTTTTCAGAATTCTTGTGTTTTGAAGATGGAGAAAAAACCCTTGAAATCTTGAATGAAATTGTGTTAGTTTTCACTAATAAAGTAAAATTAATAGAATTCATCTTCACCTTCATAATATACAAAGAGAAAACTACCAATTAAATTTAACAATAACAGAACTTCTGATAACAGTGAAACTTCAGAGGAAACCCAGTTAAAGTAGTAAATGAATATAAATATCTATGAGTAGGCGTTGTTATCATTACCCCAAGATTGGTCTTAGGAGGCCACTTTGCTAAAAGAGTAAGTCATGCAAAATTTGGTCTAAATTCTATGTGGTATAATTTCATAGCTAACAAAAATATCCCCTATTCAAGTAAACTAATAGTTTGTAATTCGGTTTCTCGGGCAGTTATATTGGATAGATTTGGGGTTTCGAGGCCTACAAAGTTTTGGAAAAATTTAAAAGATACTTTATAAAAAAATTACTGTGTCTCCCAAGATATGCACCTAGTTATATTTCGGCACACGAAACCGGTCTCACCTCGATATACTCTTATACACTTAAAATTCATTTTGACTACACTTTGAAAGTCCTGGAGAGGCCTGACGTTTTCCACATATTCTAGCAAAAGACATGATGACTAAGAAAGTTTATTGGTATCGAAAATAGCTAGATTTCAAGGATAGTTATAAAATTAATCTCGATACTGCAAATAACACTGATCTGCACAGGAAATTGCCTGTTGTTGGACATAGAGTAGAGGACTTAGAAAAATAAAATAATATTTAAAAATTTCTTCATTCTAAGTTTTTCATTCTACGCAGGACTATATTCAGTGGGCACTGTTACACCCTATCTAATTTTTTGATGTAGGACTGAATTTCTCGATTTAAATGTAAAACCATGGATGGTTAAAAGCAACAATAACTGTCCGGTATGTGGCTCTCAAGAAAAAGAGGATATCATTCACTTTTTAGGGACTTGTCATTGTACAGTGAGAGGAAAATATTTCGGACGGGATACCTATTCTCCAGAACAATTATTTGGTTTATTAAAGGGTTCTAACTGGAAAGCCTTAAGCAATTATATACAACAGGCCACATTGCAAAGATCTCAATTGGTCAGTTGATGAACCATTGGTACAATATCCTGTTTTACTTGTTTTTATATTTATTGTAACATTTTTTTTTATTGTTGTATTGTATTTCATTGCTATTATTATTATTATTGAAATTAAATTTCTTATTTATTGTATTTATAAGATATTAAGGTTTGTTTTTTGAAAACTCTATTTAAACTAATGAAACAGTGAAGGAAGGAATTGCTAGAATGGATGTATAAATATATAATCATACTGTAGATATATTATTACTCATTTATTTTAGTTATAAATGTAGTGAACATATATATTATTAATTACACAAAGACCTTGACAGAATTTTCCATTGTCTATGTGTTGTTGCTTGTGTATATATATATATATTATATATATATATATATATATATATATATATATATATATATATATTCTACTTTTAATTTTTTATAGTATAATTAACACGGTTTCATTCATTCAATAAAAGAAACAGTGTTGATTTTTTTAAGTGATTATAAAAAGTATATAAAATTATTAATTGCATTAATTAATTAATTGTATAAATAAAAGAACATTAGAAAGAGAGTCAGTACTAAATAGAGTGGGTAAACCAACACCTGACATTAAGAAGATAACATTTATCCTGATCTTATAAATTTTTAGTTTTATATTGCTTTGGTTGGTAATTGTATATTGGCAACATTTTCTGGAGATATCGACATTCAATATATAGGTATATAGTCTACTCATTATTAACAGCTATTGTTTCCTTTTTTGTTTAGGAAAAGCTAGAAGCACAAAGGTTAGCGCTAGCCAATGGTAGCAGTCCAAAGGATGGATCTGCAAATGGCCACTGCAACGGAACCTCAAACGGAGTATCAAACGGCTTATCGAACGGATTCGGCATTCACAAGGCCCAGGGTTCGATCGCTGATTACTACAGCCAACATGACGACATGAGGCTAACTCACAGGGCCTGAACCAGGCTCTTATTATTTTCCTCAAGTTCTCTTTTGAATTTTTCTAAGGGAGAAAGACTATTTATTAATTCACTGAAGTACATGTTAAAACAATAAGTCATATTTTTATACTAGGCAATAATTTTTAAAAATGAATTAAAAAACTCTGTTTTTTTAACTGTACATTTTTAAAATTAAGAATTTCCCCAAAAATGAGGAAATTTCTGTGATGTATATATGTCATAATTTATGGATATAATTTTAATATCATTTTTTAAAATATAAAATCTTCCATCAATCAGTTTTGTAAATATTTGCCACTAAAGTGTTTTCATTGATTTCGAACACTATAATCAAATAGAAGCTTGGCTTAGGAAGAATAAAAAATAAGAAAGACAGAGGGTGAGAATGAGTTTATAGAAATAAACCTCAGACACATTGTATTAGTATTGTATGAAATGCTCTTTTATAATAAGGAGGAATGCATTGCACTTTTTTAAATTCATTTATACATAAATTAGAAAACATTCAAGCACCTTTCTGAGGAATGGATAATATTTTCCTTTATTTTTACTGATAGTTAAATCTATTAACTGCAGAATAAATATTTTGTGTTGCAAAATTTAATTATAATTATAATGTACCAAACTCAATTTGCAATTGTATCCATACTTTTTTGTACCACATTAATGTTCTTAAATTCATAATGTTATTCATAATAGTATTTCCTATTTCAAATTATAGAACTCTTGTTACCAATTATTAAAATTAGTTTGATATCTCATTCTAATTGGTTGATTAGCAAACCTGTCTGTACAAATTATTCTATCAAATGTTCAAACACTTTCTTCAGATGCAATGTTGATAATTTAGTATTGTTAGGCCTGGATGTGCCATAATGTATAAATTAGTTATTAATTAGAAAGAATTACCTGTGAGTATGACAATGTTTGGCCACCCTCTGCTACGATATAAGGAAGTGCAATGAATTTCATACAGTGCCTATGACTGCAGTGCCTTTGTATTATGCTGGGACCATACCAGAAATGTACTTAACTACTAGTTAAAGTGTAAATTCAACTGTTGATTTTATTAATATTTATACAAAGTATAATTTTCTTCTATAAGGAAATAATTAACTGTTGAATCTATTGTATAAACTTGTTGTACCCTTTTAGAATTGTATTGTCAATTTTTTTTTTTTGTTTTGGATCATTGATGTTTTTATGTAAGTATATATGTATATTAAAATATTATACATATATTCCTATGTATTAATGAGAATGAATTGTTTAATATGAATAAATTTAAGATTTATATTGTTGTACAGGTTAGTTGTAATAAGTGTTAATAAACCTTTTAAACAAATTTTCATGTTTTCTTAATAATTAATACTAGTATAGGATCAGTAAGTTACATTTATTGTATTACATTTTCTAACTTTCCTCGATATTTGAAGAGGAGCTAAAATATATTCAATTAAGTAATCTCAGGTAAGTTCAATCTGATGAAGGGACATTTGATTTAATTAACACTCGATTTAATAAGATTTTAGAGTCTATATAACAGGCACTCCAGAAAGTGGCCATGTTCAAGCAGCAGCCAAATTCATTTGCATTATTACAGTTATAAATGTGTGCTGGTTATTAAATTAATGCTAATTATTGACACTATTTATAATATCAAAGAAGTTAAAATAAAATTTACAGGCTAATATAATGTTGTAAGTATATGTTGGCAACAGTAGGCTCTATAGTATATAGTAGGCTCAGGTGTTGAATTAATGGTTAATTTCTAGCCCATTTATGATTAAAATTTTGTTTGAAAAATTAAATTATATAATAAACATTTAAACATGATGGATCTTTATTCCTTTGAAACAGAAATTAACTATTTAAGGTAGGTATATGCCTGGAGTACAATGCTACTGCAAATTTTTCACAAAAATTGACTTACCAGAGGTGCCAGTTTGACTAAACTTATTATATCAATAAAAAATTAAGTGTAAAATCCACTTATCAGGTAGATATTTTCCTCACTGAAGAAGTCTGACTGAGCTTTAATGCTAAGCTTTCAAAATTTCTTTCTCTAAAATACCTTTGATTTTGTTTATTAGAAATGATAGTATATTGTAGTAGAAAATAGGAGGAATGTCCTCATAGGTAAAAAAAAAATTTAAAAAATAAGAGTAGCAGTTAATATCTATAATATAATGCCTAAGATTTGAGAGAAATTAATATTTTATTGATAAAGTTGTAAAAGATATTTAACAGTGACAAAACTAAAGATTAATACAAGTTTTAGAAATAAATATATTTTTGGAAAATAAGTGGAAACTTTTAAAATTAATTTTCAACCTGAAAAACTAATTGTGTATAGTTTACAGAATTATCATGTTTTATATAAGTATAAAACACATGTATGACCAGGAATAACACATGTTTAAATATGTCGCATCCATGATTTCTCCCAAATCGCATAGATTACAGAGTTGAGAATCTGCCTCTCCTATTTTATAAAGTTTTTGCTTTAGGTAGTCTTGGCCAGTAATCATATGAAATTCCACAACAGCGTTCCTTCCTCAGCATATCAACTGACACCCTTTCTTCTTCAATAAGCAAGTTACTCTATTGCTTCCCTATTTCCCTATCAGTATTTATCTTTAGGGATTCCAGATCATTTATCATCATTCATCATTCATCATTTATACTCTTTCATATTTATTTCTAACCTATTCCTTTTGAATGACATCCATTTTTCTGGCTATGCTGTACCAGTTTATCTACCATTTCATTACTGTGGAGATCACAATGATTTGATATCTATTGAAAGATGAAAGATTATCTCTCTACCCTGAAGAAGCAATCCTTCAATATATATATATATATATATATATATATATATATATATATATAATAATAATAATAATAATAAGGCTTAGCGAACCCGAAGGTTCGATGCCGACACCACCAATCGCTTGTTACACACCTCCCTCCACCGTTCGCCGTCCAAACCCAGTCCCTTCAGATCCGCTTTAATGCAATCTTCCCACCTTCGCTTCGGTCTACCCCTCGGACGCTTACCATTCGGCACAGCAAATATTAACCTTTTAGGAATTCTCTCGTTACTAAGCCCAACAACTTTACAAGCCCATTTGATTCGCCTCGATGAAATTACCTCAATTATATTATCCGGATACAGCTCATGCAATTCGGCGTTGTGTAACCGTCTGAACTCTCCGGTTAACTCATCCTTCTTCGGTCCGAATATTCTACGCAATACTTTATTTTCAAAAACCTTAAGACGCTGCTCATCCCTTAATGTAAGCGGCCAAGTTTCGCATCCATAAAGAACTGTAGGCAAGATAATTGTTTTATAGATTCTAATTTTTAAGTTTCGGGACAAGAGGCGCGAACTAAGTAGTTTTGTAACAGAAAAATAACAAGCATTCCCCGCCTTCAGTCTAACCTTAATCTCTTCTTCAATTTCGTTTTTTCTAGTTATCGTAGAACCTAGATACCTAAATTTATCTACCTGTTCAAACATATTACCATCTATATCGATATCACCAGTAGTATCGCCACTTTTGCAGCTAACCATATATTTTGTTTTATCCACGTTTATTTCGAGTCCTAGTTCTTTACCGGCTTTCATTAACGTTGTCGTATTTAGTTTTAAAGTTTCAACGTCTTCGCTTAACAGTACCAGATCATCAGCATAGCCCAGCACGGATGTTGTCCCGCCCAGATCCAACCCTTTCTCGGTTCGCATTACCTCCCTAATGGCATGTTCTAATGCCAAATTGAACAGGACAGGCGAAAGAGAATCCCCCTGTTTTAAGCCCGAACGAATATATATATATATATTTATATATATATATATATAAATTAATCCCATGTCCCCAAAATATTTTGAATATATCATTGATATATATATATATATATATATATATATTATATATATATATATATATATATATATATATATATATATATCAATGATATATTCAAAATATTTTGGGGACATGGGATTAATTTGGTTGTGCTACAGTGAAGATAGCCTCTTGAAAATCTACAATCAGTACAATGTTTTGAGCCTTTGTATAAGAGAGAGCTTGCACCACCAATGAAATTGCATGAATTTTACAATAAAAATTTGTGATTCCTTTCCCAACTGGTTTCAAAAAATGGCAAACAAAGTATGCACCGGTCCCTCTATTGTGTACTGCTTACTCAGCAGAAATAACAATTAAGTTTTTGTTTCCAGACCCAGGGGTTTTAAATTCATCAGATATGAGCCCAGCTATTAGAAGGTGCATTTAGGTCTCAACATTGGGTAAAGTTCTGCCCCCATAGTTATTCCAATCATGCCAATTTTGGCTGATTTTGAGGGAGAGTATAGAAAACAAAGAGACACTTTTTCATATTCTCTATCCATACTTCCAACTCAACAACTTCAATGCAGCCATACTTCCTTGACAGTAAAACTTGAAATAAACTACTTTTTTACTAAGACTAAAATGCCAGATATACATTGTTGTATGAGAGATAGCGAACACTTGGTGTCCTTTAATCTGGAAACTTTGAATTAACTATATGATAATACCATAGCTTCCACTATTCCTAAAATATCTGCATCATAATTGATGGCTATAGTCTTACATTTTTAAATTTGTCATTTGTTAGTTTCAAAAAAGAACTTTGAAGTGATCATTCATTTTGAAAAGACCGTTTACATGTAACCTTTAGGATATCGGTCTCTGCATACCTGTATTAGATGGGCTGCTTCTGCCAACTATGTGATCATTCAGCTGCTTGTGAATTTGAATAAGTTCAAAGTTCATATATTTTCCAGAAGGCACATGGGTTTACTGGGCTTGATCACTTCCCTCCCCGATTAGGAGTGACGTACAGCACAATCAAATTCAAACATTTATTATAAATTTGTTGTTTTAAAAAATTATTTCGACACAGAATACATTATATTTAGTTGACAAAATACTTAAATGACTAATATAGAAAATTTCCATTAGTAAACAACAGATTATAATTCCATAAAATTTATTATTTTTTATATTTGAAAATGGCCTATAAATTACCAAAATGTCATCAAAATAAATAAATAAAATGAAAGTAGTTAGGACAACGAGTAAATACTTTTTACAATCTAACTTTATTAATTTTAAAAAAATCATTATAAGAGAATTCCTTTGAAAGTGTAGAAAAGCAGAGGTGAGAATATAATAAGTATACATTTTTTGCATAATTAAACATTACATGATATATGTGCAATTAAATAGAAATGTATACACATTTATTTATATTATCTAAATACTACATAAGTTACTATTTTTTTGCTATTAAAACTGATCTAATTATCTATTATGATGAACGTGTTTTTTTTCTGTTAGGTGATTTTGGAGTCCATCATGACTATGAACATTTATTATGATAGGATTTCTTCATTAAATGCCTATGACACACATAATCTTGTGTTATGATAAAATTAAACTTATTTGGAAAGTATCTACCAATTTTTCCTGGTGTTTTAGTCTAGTATTTCTACTATATACTTGCTAAATGTGTAAATTTTCATCCCATGGATTGTAGGATCGTAAAGTATGAGTAAGCTAGATGCATCATCTGTAACGTGATAATTTAGTAGTTAACCAAGAGTTTGAATTAATATGACAAAACAAGATAATTATCACACATCTAATAAAAAAAATATTATATTTGCTTACATGTATTTCTGTATTATTCTATATATATTTTATGTGTTTCTGATAAGTTTTAAGGAAAAACAAACACATATGTGGAGCATTTAACCTTTTAGATATAGTTTTAATGTTTTAGAGTAAGAAGCCATTTTAATTAATGTGTTAATCTTTGGGGATATATTGTAAACCTCCGTTCATTTTTCTTTAAAACTTTTATAGAATTTACTTTCAAAGAGTAAAAAGGAACAAATTCTTCTACAATATTTATGCATTTACATGGATACATTGTATGCATTACAACATCCATTTACTTAAAGATATATTGTCATCATTGAACTTGAAAAAATTAAGATGGATTGTAGCCCAAAATTGAACTAGCAAATTCAAAAGGACAGTATTTTCCACCAGAACAATTAAGCTTATTTTTAAGCATAAATAACTTTTTTTATATCTTGAAAAATTATTTTTATAATTACTTATTTTTTCTGTGAGATAGTTAGTTTTCAAACCATTCCAATCTATTCCATTGTGAATTAGTTAAAATAAAATAAAAATATTTTATAAAAAAGCGGTAATTTAAACTAATTGTCTATCATAAATAAATACACCTTGTATGGAACATGTTGAAGCAAGAATTTATTAGCTAAAAACGATATACACAAGTTATAATAAGTATACAAATTAATTTATCCTATTATGAAAAATTTATTAGGTAATTCACCTCTAGGAACCTTCGAAGATTCATAGGTATGATTCCTTTATAGTCCAAGACAATTGGTTTCCTGGTTACCATCATCATCACCCACAGACTTCTTTTTACTTTTGGAGTCTCTTTATACCAAGGAATTCTATATAGGGTTTCCGATAGCCTGACACTCTGAAACAGTAGAACTTATTTATTTATATAGAGGGCCCAAAATTAATGATATTAATACATAAATCATTTTTCTCATTTCTTTTCCATATGTCTAGTTTTTACTCTAACCCTTTCTTCAGCAGTTAGAATTACATAAACAACTATTCTATAACTATTATTTCTTGAACCAATAATTTTAATTTCTTTAAAATTAATATCATTATAAATTTATAATGATGTAGAGATGGTTGACCGTTGATATAATATGAGAAGGAGTTGATCGGGGAGGGGGGGGGGTGCGGTCAAATTAATAATTAATTTGACCGCACCCCTCCCCCCCCCCCCGATCAACTCCTCACATTATAAATTAAATTTAAATAAATTTTTATTTAAAACCATTTTTTAAACAAAATTATTTTAAATAGAAACATATTTAAACTAAATTTTAAAAAATATATTATTTCTATGAAAAAACAGCTGACACAAAAGGTTGTGTATCCAACTTGGCTCTCAGAATTTGCTTATTCTCCAGCAGAATCTCTGAGATTATTCAATAGGTGAAGGGTATATAACTGATATTTACTGTGTACAGTAATAAATTATTATTATTTTATTTTTCCCCCTTTTCTTTTCTTTTTTTTTATCAGGGCATGTAGTCTATTCAGAGAACTCGTTTTTTAAGCTCAATACCTCGTTCTTTGCCTGTCAAACAAAATTCTCGTCAAACATCTACAGTGACCCATTATCAATTACGGCAAGAGCGAGCTTTAAGAGTATTTATAAGAAATATATACCCCTCAATACCAACTGAAGTAATAGGAGAAGAACTAAAAACTTTAGGTTACCAATGTTCTGAAAGAGAGTAAAGAACAACCAGGAGTGTAAGTTCCACTACTCTTATTTTTCGCAGATTTGGAGCCAACTAAAAGGATTGAAAAAGTATACGAAATAAGAAGAATGTACTATACAAGTGTGATATTTGAGAAACCATATCCTAAGAGGGAAATCGTCCAGTGCCCATAGGCGCAGACTTTCTATTTCGATTGGGAGGGCCAAAGGGCGAAGGACCAAAAAAAAAAAAAAAAAAAAAAATGGCCATAGATCTTATTATGTGAAATAATTATTGTGAAACGAGCAAATATAATATTAAATATTTAAAAATAATAATTGTTTGGGTGTTATTGAATTATTTCATATGCATATGGATACACTTGAAAATATCTGAACAAAGCAATTGGATTTATGACAATTTGTATATTTCCAAAATCATGCAAATCTTCCAACAGCTTGACATCCGACAGAGCAATTAACCTACTTCCAATTCTTTCAAAAATCATTTTGAAACAAATCCTACCCCTTATAGAATCCCAAAATCTTACTTCCCATCAGTTTTTTTTCGCTCAAAACACTTCACTGTTCAACAAGGACTGTGAGTCGTTGATCATATATAAGCAGCCCTAGAAAACAGGCAAAACTGTTCTGATGCATTTCTGGACATAGCACAGGGTTTTGGCATGGTATGGCACCCTGGGCTGCTCTTCGGTTCTGGCAATAGCCAGATTCTCTACTCAAGCCATGTATGCCTGGTTATAGCACCTCTGCTCAGACTCCACTGGTCCTTAACACCAGTAATGGGGCTGGCTGAGTGAGAGGTGCTGAGATCTCGAGGGGGGGAGGGGGGTAAAGGCTTGGCTCGGATATCTTCAGTGAAAGAATTTTTGTAAACATTGTATACAAATATGTGTGTATTTAAGTAGTTATTTTGATTAATTTAGTTTAGTTTATATACATTTAATTTTAGTATTATTATTTTGCTGTTTATCTATTGTGTAGTGTGAATGTGCTACTCTATTGTGTGGAAAAAATATCTACAAAACATCCATATAAAGAAAAATTATAAATTGTGAGTGTTTATTTTGTTAAATTAGACCTATGGACAAGATATGAAAAAAAATTATTGAAAAAAAAAATGTCAAAACTATAAACTAATGAATACATTAATACTAAAAAACAAGGATTACATTGGACTCAGAAGGACTACGGCCATATGTATTCCTCATGAAGTATTTAAATGAATATTATTTTATCTCAGTAGTTTCTAATTAAAGTAATCAAATTAAGTATCCCCATGCCCTGATAGAGGGAGGGGGCACCTCATCAAAATAAAATAAATCACTTAACATTACAGACAATTTTATAATGCACTATTTGGCGGGAGGGAATAATTTGCTTAGTATATTTATCAGCGATCAAATAACAAAATAAGAAAACAACACAATTCAATCTATCATAAGATGGAGGTATAAATATTATTTTCTCGGATAATTGTAATCAACTAAGAAAAAGAAAATTGACTTCAAACTTAATTCATGTTTTAAACCTCCATGTTTACAAATTACAATGAGCTATATCTTTGCTGATAATAGTCTGATTTCCTGCATGATCTGGAGATAAACTAGTCCCCATTTGGGTCTCCAGGTGGGGAATGCTTTATAGGATTCATGGTGCAAGTTGAAAAATAGGAATTTAGGTATTGGTACGTGGAATGTAAGAAGTTTAAATTCAGCAGATTGGTCAAAATTGGTCTTGAACAAGGTTAATGGGAATAATTTGGATATTGTGGATCTGCAAGAGATTCACTTGGCAGGGGAGGCCTTGATAAAGGAAGGAAAGTACACTATTTGGAACGGAGGGAGCGAGAATCATTATTTGGGTACCGGGTTTCTAATTAGAAATACATTTCTATCCGCTTTGAGGGACCTACAATTATTTAGTGATAGAATTTCGGAAGCCATATTTCAAGGACGGTGTTTCAAAATAGTGTTAATAAACATATATTGTCCGACTGACAATGATAATGAATTGAAATGCAAATTTTATGATAAACTCGAATGGGTCTATGAGAAACTACCGCGAAACTTCATGAAAATAATCCTAGGTGGGGCAATTACAAAGGTGGGAAGGGAAGAAGTTTATTTTTCCACGATTGGTAAAGAAAATTTGCATGAATATAATAATGATAATGGGATCAGTCTGATAAACTTTGCACAGCACCGCGAGCTGCTTGGCAACCAGGTAACCCGAGTCATGAGAGATTAAAAATTACTAGTTCACGTCCCAGTGGCGGAGGGGATTTCAAATTCCCCGCCTTCGCCCTCCAGTATGAGAAAATCCAGTATAGCCTAAAAGGCAAGGCAGGGAAGAACAAAAAAATTAAAAAATCTCAAAAACTTGATAATTAAAAGTACTAAATTCAAACATAAGGTAAGGATATTCATAAATATACTTGGACATCACCGGATTCACAAACACGAAACCAAATCGATGATGTCTTGATGAAACACAGCTGGCAAAGCAGTATAAGAAATATACGGCCTTACCGCAGAGCAGAATATGGATCGGATCATGAATTAGTAATCGCCAAACTTCGACGAAAATTTAATATAAAAAAGAGAAAAGAAAACCGTTCCGATATCAAGTATTTTTATTTGAAAAATTAACAAATCCATAAATTAGAACTCCTCAATTAGAGCTAGATATTAAGAATAGATTTGAAACTTTTGAACCTTCTAACGAGGACCACGAGGATACTGACAAGTTATGGGTAGGAATCAGGGATAATAGTAAAGCGGTCGGTAACTTGTGTCTTGGATAAAAAGGAAATAAAAAGAACAAATCATTTCATTCAATTTTGATGATAATTTTCTCTCAACTTTGCATTCGATGATGTTGCAGAACACAGAAGGTTGAATGTGGATGTTGCATCACATTGTTCAACAGGTTATAAAGAACTTGGCTATATTTCAGTTTTTTAAATTTAATTTTATAATAATTAAATATAAGGAAATATTTTATTTTCCTTCCTTTTTCCAACTTTAATAGGTTTATAGAAATACTGTCTCACTTTAGCATTAAATACACACCTCATCGTAGAGCTTTTGAGAATAGTAACAAGAAACAAAGGGAATGGATGTCCAACCAAAGATAGTGTAAGCGATTTCCATCACCACTTCCATGTTCCCAGCCTTCAGGGCCTGCGAACCAATCATATTTCATGTATCATTATTAACTCATTGAGTGTGAGGCATGTTTATTTAACAAAAAGGTCTGGTGCGCCCATCACATAACTTTCACTTACCACCTTTTTTAGTAGCAATAGGAATTTTGAGGGAAAGAGGAGTGAAAGTAAAAATTATAGACAGTAGGAAATATTTAAAACAATTAATTACCTTTTTCACAACCGTCACATGTAATATATTTATGTTTTTTTTTTGTTTTTTTTTGTCACTAGCCATTTCTTTTTACGACTGTCCATTTTAATTATAAATTTAATTATAATAAATAATCAAATGCCATCAAATTTTTAGTCCGACAACAATATCACCGATAAAGAACGGTGGCTATATTTAATCATATTTCATTACATGTATTTTTATTTGTTTTCATTGTTTTATAATATAAACTTTACATACACATTTTTATATCGCTGCAATTTATACAATTAAATATCAAATAATACCAAGGCTAGCATTTATGAAAACAGCATATGTACTTGTTATAATAATGTTATCGAAACCTGTATTTAATGAAATAGCACCTGTTAGTTATGGAAATCTTACAAACCTTTCGGCCAAACTCGGTTTTCTTCGGTTCTCTATTACAATCCTTTATTTCTTCTTATAATTATTTAATTCTTTAATTAATTATAACATTCTTTCATGTTTTATATTTAACCATTTTAAATAGCAGGTTACAATGTGAAATGGTTAATTATTTCGAATGATAAAAATCTGGTTCGCGTATTACACAACAAGAATCTTAATTCATGGGCAGGCCATTTACACTGACCAAGATAAAAGCTAACTTGAAAATACTTAAAATTTACTCAAGAAAAATCATTTAATTTTTTTTTTTATAACTTATAATGTTCTTCTTACAGTATTTTTTTATAATTTTTCTTTATGTTTAATTTTTTATGATGCTTCAATAAACACATATTGAAATATACAATTTATTTTTTGCTAGCCTATCTCATAAACTCTATTGAAATAAACATGGCTTGCAATTACCAAATTATTTGTATAGTAAATTATAACTTGGCATGTTTTGAACATAAGAATTTAGTGTAAATGGTGTTCAGTACATACATTTTAAAACAATTGTTTAAATAAAAAATTGAAAGAAAGCATGAAAGTCATGATGAGATTTTTCAAGTCATGGTGAGAATTTTCAATTCTTATAACTGAGATTTTATCAATTTGTCGATTTTGGAAGAAATTTCAAATTTTCAATCGGATTTTTCCGCAATTTATAGGATATTTGCACTCACACTCTTAACAGATGCCACATATTAAAGAAATAGTTTTGAAATAAAATAAAAAGTTATTTTTAAATATTGTATAAAAATTTACTTTTGAAAAAAAAAAGTAATATTAAAACAGTTAAATAGCACTAATATATAAATGAAAAAAAATGATAACAACAAATTTGATTAACGTCAATATAACTGATATCAATAATTATCAATGATAATTGATATTGACGAAATTCGATACTGACCGTGTAAGCGGCCCTTAAGAATAAGAAATTTCGCCAGGGTAAATTCAGGATTTGTGGCAACATTGAACAAGCTGCACTGCTGTTTTCATAATATTTTCCATAACATAAATATGTATATTATATATATATAATAATAATAATTTACTCTTGGACGAATCCCTTTAGAATAATTAACAAGGACAGAAATGTGGGCTTTTGAGCCTCAGATATATACAAATGTATTTACAAAGTTAACTAATAGATATAATAGAGAAAAAAAAAGTTATCATCTAGATTAAATCGATTAAGAAGAAAAAAATAATAAACGAAAGAACAATCAAATGAAAACAATTGGAAATAAACTAATAATATATGTGCATATTTACAGAAGTCCCTATTTACAATCTTAGAGGGACTGGATGGAAAGAAAGTAATTGAATAGGCGGGATTTAAAAGTAGGGAGAGTACTGGAGCGACGGATGTCAGGAGGGATGGAGTTCCATAGGGATGAGCATCGAATAATAAAATATTTATTGAAAGCAGCGGTTCGGTGGCCATTATATATAAATCTGACCGGGAACGGGTTTTGCGGAAGTGGACAGAGGATTTAAATTGAAGGAGCTCGGAGATGTATGAAGGACGGTGGGAGCGAATGGCTTGGAAGAGGAAGAATGCCTGGAAATACTTTCAGAGCTAGGAAGTATAAAGTCATTTCAACTCTTAATAGAAACATATTTATATACATAATATAAATATAAAAATAAAAAAATACTTCACGGCTGAATTTGGTGCCTCTGATCCAATCCTTTATATGATATTATCGAATAGTGTGTTTAAGAGTAGGAAAAGTAATTGTAAATGACTTGATATAATAATTCTTCATCAAAAAGATATGAAAATTATTAGTCGATTTATGTATAGTAATATGTTTAGCTTCTTTCGAATGAAAGCTCTAAGCAATACACGTGAGGATTTTGTTAAAAAAATAAAGTCATATAATTGCAACTTGGGTCAATATTTTATAATAATAAAATAATGAGCTCATGGTACATTAATATAATTTATAAATATGTCTCTTGTCAGAAGGAATTCTCGATTCATGGTGTTTTTTAAAGAAGGACTTCATAAAATATTATTTATTGACTGAAAGCGAAAGTAATCATTAAAAACTTCTTGCCCTTAATGCAACTGATTTCAATAGACCTATTTCAAAACTTCCTTTTATAATTGTGGAAATTTATCCTAAATATGTAACCTGGAAAAATCCAGATATTTTTATGAATATTTTATGAAAAAAGAATATTTTTATTGAGGCATTTAATTTTTTTTTTTTTACAATATTCCTCTAAAATTTTATCAGTTTATATTGTACGTCCTTTTGGAGTCTTTTTTACTTTCACTTGCTTATATATGTAATAAATAGTTAGAGAAAGTATTGAGATCATTGCAGGAGAAGGTTTGGTTGTAAATTGCGAAAGTGTATGTTATTCTGAGTAAAAAGAACCTTGTCTGCCGTTACAGAGACGCTGCTTTCAACAATGGTGTCTGATTTAAAGAACATTGGGTCAATAATTTGAGGAACGAAACAGGAATTTTAAAAAATGTCAGTTTTTATTTTTGACGCAAAATTTGAAGCTCTACAACTTTGATTCTATGGGTTTTTCTCTTAGGGAATTCATTTCCATGTTACAGGGCCATTTATAGTGATTTTTATCAGTTTTTGACAAATTTTTTAAAAACCAGCGTTGGTTGACCGTGGTTTTATACCTTAACGCGTAACCAAATTATAAAGTTTATGTACTCGTTTGACGCAAAATTTAACTTTCTTTAATTTATTAAAGTGTACATTTTTCGCTTTTATGCATCGTTCAGGAGTTATTGGTTAAAAACAAAAAAATATCGAAAAAATCTGTCTTTTTCGGCTGTAAAAAGTTTTTCCTACTTGGCTCGCGTTATCAATTTTATATATCTAAACCCATATATACAAATCAAAAAAATTAAAACTTTTCTCACATTTTTCGCAATGGATTTCCCGTTTAGATCACTGAGAATCAGAATTTCGCTTAATTTCGTCATAGTTGGTCTTTTAGTAAAGCTGGATAGTCAGAAAATAAGAAAAAAATAGTGAAAAATAATAGGCTTAGACAATAAAAAAACACCAAACTTGTCATCTTCGGGCTTCTGTCTAGCAGTTGCTCTTGAGAGTTCATCTTAGACCGTTCCCCTTGCTAATTTAACATGTATAAATAATAAATGACATGCTTATAAATAATATCTTGAACATTATAATTATACGTAATAAATAAATTTCTTCTTATTTCATTTTCAATATTTAAGATTTATATCCCTAAAAATAACATTGTTTACTAAAATAAAGAGAAATAATAAAAAACCATCATATAAACGGCATCGGACGTCGGAGTCCACTCCTACGATTAATGAGGACACAATCAACAGATAGAGACTCTGAATAGGGAATTTAGTTTACCTTTGATGTAAACAAATAGCGGTATATCTCGAAACTGATGCATGTCTTCGCCGTCCGATGCAGTCAGGAACTTCATCAACAGCGCACAGTGTAACGTCCAATGGACAAAAACCTGAAATTTTATTTTTTTTTATATTTAACTTTAAATCCTCTAGTTACGTTTAGAAACTATTCAAGGAATTAGAATCGTATAAAACCAATAAATATTATTTTTATTTTGAACAAACACATTAGCAGTATTGTAAAGAAGGCAATGCTCAGTTTAAATCTCTCTCGTTGAAGATAGAACTGTGTTTTTATTAAGTGATCCAAAGGAAATAACGTGAAAACTATTCCTTTTTTATCTGATGTAATTTATTATGGGGAAGTACTATCTTATTATTTAAGAAATTGTTATCATTTATTATTAACAAAAGGGCAATTCATGTCATGATGGTCCTTCCGGCTTACTTGGAGAAAATGGAGAAAAAACGCAAAGCAAAATCAGTCCAGACATTAATGAATATATAATAGAGATTATATATTCTTATATAATAGAGATTATTACAATCATCAAATAGACATTGGTTTCGATATAAGGTTATATTCTGACGAATCCACAAAGGATTCAGATTCTGAATAAAGAAATGATTAATTTCAAAGGAAGTGATAAAATATTATTATTCTATGGCAATTTACTATAAGTATAATTCACTTGTATACTATATAATACAGTTATATTACATTTTATATTACAATTATATTATATAACATTGTTATTCCTGATACTATTACCTCCTATATTCTTTCTATTAATATTATTATAGTTCTAAAGTATGGATACATTATTATACTATTGTTACCTTGTTTTGAGTTTAAATCAATTAATAAAAATGTTTATTTGAAAATAACTAGTGGTTAATGATTTTTGTCTATTATCCCCACTACTTGGTTACACTGTGCGGCGTCCGGAAACTTTTTATCAGATACAATGATTATTTACACTCCTATCTTTACATATTTCCAACTCCCATT